TTGGGGTTTAGGATTTGGGGTTTGGGGTTTGGGGTTTAGGCTAGGTAGAGGAGGGTGCACCTGTGTAGGGGATCCGAAGTATGGGCCCTTCATTTGGGTCCCCCTTGTTATATAACCCTTTTCTACAATATATGCAATAAGGATCATACCAGGGGCCCTTAAACTTACAGTTCTTAGTAGGGGTGACATTACCCCCTATTCTAAACCCGATGAAGAAATGTTAGCATGAGGGGGAACATCCCAAAGTACATTTGGTAAAGAAGACTGGCTACCCTCAGAACCAAGCGGCTCATGCTTGTGTCCCTTCTTGGGCGGCACCACCTGCCCATCAGGTTAAGGGGTTTGGGTTTGGGGTTTAGGGTTTAGGGTTTAGGGTTTAGGGTTTAGGGTTTAGGGTTTAGGGTTTAGGGTTTAGGGTTTAGGGTTTAGGGTTTAGGGTTTAGGGTTTAGGGTTTAGGGTTTAGGGGTAGGGTTGCCCATCGCACGCACGCACACCCGATGGTTTGGGGTGGTTTAGGGGTTTCAGGGGGCTTTCGTCTATGTGCCCGCTGACTCCTAAACATAAGGAATCTACACTCACAGAAATGCCAGGAACGTCCGCATCAGTTAGGGTTTTGGGCTTCGACTCAGCTACAAGCTCTGGTATCACTTACTCTGGAAAACAATGGACTAAGCACCCTATGTCCCTCCGAGGGGGGCTGTCTTCTATGGTACCTACGGGGCTCAGTGACCGAACTCCTGGGATGATATGAAGACTACTCGCTTAAACCCTGAACACAACAAAACAGAATACAACTAAATTGACAGGAAGCCCTCAGCCCAAAACCTTCAACCCCCAAACCCTAGGCCCCTAGACCCTAAACCCTAAACCCCAAACCCTAAACCCTAAACCCTAAGATAGGCCCTTTCTGGATCCTCCCTACAGGCCCTACAGGTCTGGTCTCGAGGGTGTCATTGACATTCCTCAAGGTTTAGGGGTGAGTCTTCAGGGTGGAACGCCCACTTGAGTAACCCCAAACCCTAAACCCTAAACCCTAAACCCTAAACCCTAAACCCTAATTAAAGCTTAAACCCTAAACCCTAAACCCTTTCGGGACACCCTAAGTTTGAAAACCCCAAGCCCCTAACAAGCGCAGGGCCCCTTTCAAGCTCGAAGGCCCGCAGAGCCACCAAGGAATTTCTAGGGTTTAGGTTGAGGGTTTGGGGTTTGGGGTTTAGGGTTTAGGGTCTAGGGTCTAGGGTCTAGGGTCTAGGGTCTAGGGTTTAGGGTTTAGGGTTTAGGGTTTAGGGTTTAGGGTTTAGGGTTTAGGGTTTAGGGTTTAGGGTTTAGGGTTTAGGGTTTAGGGTTTAGGGTTGGCCCTAAACCCTAAAGCTACTGTAAGCTTTGAGGGCAAACGGAGGGTCGGTGCCCGCCTCACCCCCTCCCAGAACCGCGTCGACGGCCGTCACGGTGGGCACCCGGGTTCCTTAGCTGCTGGTATGGGGTTCAGGGTTTAGGGTTTAGGGTTTAGGGTTTAGGGTTTAGGGTTTAGGGTTTAGGGTTTAGGGTTTAGGGTTTAGGGTTTAGGGTTTAGGGTTTAGGGTTTAGGGTTCAGGGGTTTAGGGCTGTTTAGGGGCTTAGTTCGGGATGTTAATTCCCCTTTATACTTACTAACAGTCCTCAATAAAGACCCCTATGAAGGACCGTTTGTTTTTGGGGGTTTGGAGCTCCGGGTTTAGGGGTTCTTAATCGAAAGTGCTGCAGGTTTATGGGTTCTAAGTCAGGAGTCGGGGAAGTATAGGGAATTCGGTTTATACGCCGGGGTGGCTACTTCCCCAAATTTTAAGTAGTAAGGTTCCTTCGCTGTGCGGCGCCGAGTTTTCTCCCTAAGCCTTAAGCACGAATCCGTAACCCTAAGCCCTGAGCGCCATAGGTCAACCGACTTGCGATGTCGCGGCGAAGGCAGGCTTAAAGGGTGTTAGGATTTCTAGGATGGTTTAAGAGAAAAACGAGCCGTAGCGGCTCAAAAAGCTCCGAGCCCAAAACCCAAAACCGCAAAACCGCAACACCCCAAATCAAAGCCCAAACCCTACGCCGAAACCCTCTAAACCCTAATTAAGCCCGATACCCCAAACCATACACCCTAAACCCGCAATCCCCCAAACCCTAAACCCTAAGCCCGAAACCCTAAGCCCTAAACCCTAAACCCTAGACCCTAGACCCTAAACCCTAAACCCTAAACCCTAAACCCTAAACCCCTCCTGTCCGGGTGTCGCTTCTGAACCGTCCGCTCGCAGGTGGCGGGCTTCAGTGATAGGGCCCATGGTGAGGCCTCGTGGGAGCTTTGGGCTTTAGGGTTGCAACAAGAGCATAGGGTTTAGGGTTTAGGGTTTAGGGTTTAGGGTTTAGGGTTTAGGGATTAGGGTTTAGGGTTTAGGGTTTCGGGTTTCGGGTTTAGGGTTTCGGGTTTAGGGTTTTAGGAGGTTTCGCGTAGGGTGTAGGGTTTCGGGGGTCTAGGGTTTAGGGTGTGGGGTTCAGGGTTTCGGGTTTCTAGGGGCTCCGCTGTAGGGTGCAAGTGTAGGCCTTGGGCCTGCAAAATCAGACGAACAAGACGAATATTTGTAATATTCTGAAGTTGTCCAGGGCTAGCAATTATCATAATCGTAGCAACTATCATAATCGTAGTAACTATCATAATCGTAGTAACTTTCATAATCGTAGTCATTCTCATAATAGAAACAACTATCATAAAAAGTCGCATCTATCATAAAAAAAAAGTAGGTAAGTATCATAACAGTAGTTTTAATTCTCATAATAGTAGTAATTATCATAAAGAAGTAGCCATGAAGAGGATCAGCCGGCGCCTCCCACAGAAGGGCGGCTCCTGCAGCTCCCACTAAGAGCCGCCGCCGCGGTGCCATGGGCTTTGGAAAAAAAGGCGGGGCTTCTTAAGACCATAAATAGGGGGGGGGGGGGGTATAAGGCCTAAACCCTAGACCCTAAACCCTAAACCCTAGCCCTAAACCCTAAACCCTAAACCCTAAACCCTAAACCCTAATTCAGCCCTAAACTGCAAGATGACTTGATGCCTGCAGAAGAAGGGGCTGCGCTTTTCTCTGGGGGGTCCCCATGTCCCCGGGCGATCAAGGGTCAGCATGTGAGGGTTTAGGGCTGAAGATGAATTTGACAAGTTGAGGTCTTGCTGCTTAGAGTTAGGCGCGGCACGGATCTACTTGTGTTTCAGCTTCAGGCGCGGGCGCATGTCTCCCAAGGCTTACTAAAGAAAGCAGAAATGGCGGCAGCAACCAAGTCTGATGTCCCACAGCGATCAGACTCGACACAAGCCACCGGCCAAACTTACCCTGAGATACACGATGCAGCTACTTCCACTGTTGGTGATCAAAACATCCTGCATGACCTATGCGCCCCGACCTCGAAATTATGATTCTGCAGCAGATTGCCGAAGTTCAAACCCAGTCCGACGCACAATCCCTAAACCTCAGCCCTGCACCCTGCACCCGAAATTCCTAAACCCTAAACCCTAAACCCTAGTTCAAGGCGCCCGATCGGGACAGGGAAAGTCCCTGGCCCTACTTGTCAAAAGCGCGTCCTTGTTCATTGCTTCGGATTTCGCGATCAGAGCTCAGGGTTGGCAGTTCAGGGCTTATGGTTTGGGGCTTAGGGTTTGGGGTTTCGGGCTAAGAGCTCGGATCAGAGATGTACCCAAAAGCCGAATCCCAATCGGCAACCAGATGGCCTAGATTCTTCCTACGGTCAAGACCACATGGGGGTTAAGGCTTTTTTTGACGGTTTCGGGTTCAGCCATCAACCCTAAACCCTAAACCCTAAACCCCAAACCCTAAACCCCAAACCCTAAACCCTCAACCCAGGGTCAATGTGCACATGCCGGCACGACACACAACCCAGGAACTGGCGGGCGTAGCCCACAATCCACTGCGCACCTGGCTGCAGAGGAGTGGTTTAGGGTTCAGGGTTCAAGGTTCACTTGGAATTCAGGGTACTTATAACCCAACTATATGTGTAGTCATAACCCACTCTTAATATAAGCCCCTTAAGTATACCCGAATAGGGTTAGAACTGAGATATAAATACAATTATATTAATTGGGTTGCTAGGTACCATGAACCTCCAAGGTTTAGGGTTCAAGGGTTCAGGAATTACTAGTTCAGTGCGGGGATAGTATTAAAAATTTGTTTTTTGTTCCTTATTGGGTTTAAGTACCCTTAAAATTGTAAAATGTTCCCCAACTATGACAAAGTTTAGGGGGGGGGGCCACTTTGGAACCTTCATCCTTGGATCCTAAGCCCCCACACCGGCTTTGAATGCCTGAGCACTGCGCAAAGGCTTGGGGCTTCGGGCTGTGGGTTTCGGCCCTAAACCCTAAACCCTAAACCCTAAACCCTAAACCCTAAACCCTAAACCCTAAACCCTAAACCCTAAGAAAGCAAACCCTGAAGAGGGGGGGGGGGGGGCAATCAATCTAGTGTTCTTGGGCAACTCATCCCACGGTGCCTTGAAAATATGTCTCTCTGGAAGCTTGCCGCGGACTCGAGCTACTCTCTGAAGCCTTACACACGCTCAAAGCCCGAATGCCCTCAAACTGCTACTTGCTTCAGGGTTCAGCCAAAGAAACATAATGTTCTTCCTTTGTGAAGGCAACATAGGGGTTACTATGTTTGGTTCTTTGTGTTTTTGTTTTTTACATTGGGGGGGGGGGGGGGGGGGGGTGGGTGTTGAGCAAGTAGTAGTAAGCCCAAAGCCATGGGCTTTGGAACCCACAAATGCCAGGGTGGCTCAGAAAAAAAAGGTGCCAATTCTTTTTCCAACACTTGAGCAGTGCGCCTGCCTTTGCTTGGGCCAGGCGGCTACCCAGAGCGCCCAATACCCCTTAAGGGATCTAGGGGTGTAGGGCTCTTTGAAGTACATAGGGGTTGTGAACTACATAAAGAGGTTCGTATGAAACCGAATAGGTTCCTTAAGTGGTGCTGGGCTGTCTACTCTACATCTCCTCGAGCAAGAGCAAGAAGAACTCGTCCAGCTCCCAGTCCAAGTTGCTCATCTGGCGCAGTATCAAATCGCTTGGTAGCACGACCTCGTCGTGGATTAGGGCGAACCTGTCGATGTCGCTGTCACTTTGGAGGCTACGATAGGCTCTTCGTATCACGTCAGACACGCACTTGAAGGAGTCATCCGCTGGATTGAGCCGCAGAATCACTGTCCCAGCATGCCTGACGACAATGCTGTAGTTCTCGCGCAGGAATGCCTACACTGAACTAGGAACCCTTGCAAAAATTATAGTTTCAGCTGTTGAATTGAACCCTGAACCCTAAAACCCTAAACCCTTTACCCCTAAGATGCCTCAGCAAGACCAGCCGGACGATTCCGCGCACGGCGGATGACTTCATCACCACTGCCCTCCATGGCTAACCTGGGTTCGCCCAAAAACCCTCGGAAAATGCTTATATATATATATATTTATTTATTTATTTATTTATTTATTTATTGATTTCTTTATCTATTTATTTTTTGTATATATCTATACATATATATATAGGGTCCCTTCTAAACCCCAATAAGGAAAATGAAAACTGTCCCAAAAGCCAACCCTAGTAACTCTTGAGCCACAAATTCCAGGACGGCAGTCTTGATGTCTGCGGCGAGTGGCGGACATGTCACGCCCGCAAAGTACTCCTCAAGACGAGGCTTGACAATCCTGTACTTAAACCGTATGCCGGGGAATGCAATCTCCAGCACACGCATGATCATCTCATCCACCGATCCTCGCTGGAGGTGGACTTCATGGGAATAGAAGCAGTCGTGGATTCGTCTCCACTCGACGTCTGAGTATGTCTTCCAACTGAACGGCCGAAATCGGTCATTGAAAACCTGCTCCGCGTGGTCTTTGGATATAGGCACGTGCAGATCGCGCGACCTCCAGTAGCCGTGGAAGATCAGATACTGCTGAGCCTCGCAGCACTTGCGCAAGTACTTGTTCTCCGCTTCGAGCTCATGGAGCCGTGCTAGCGAAACCATGGCGGGCAAGGAATGTGAATGACAAGGCTTGCATTTAGCAACCAGGAGTCTTCTGTTAGAACTAGCTAGTAAGCTCTAAACACGAAGACCGTAAGAAGACTACTGCAAACCCTACAGTAACCGTAAGCAGGAGCTCAGTTCAAGTGTCAATGCTGATCTTGGTGCTTTTCTTAACATGAGCTGCACAAGCTCTGTTGCCAAGGCCATACTCCGACTTCTGCTGTTTAGGGCTTGTTTAGGCTTAGGGCTCAGACTTTCAGGGTCAAGGGTTTACGGTTGAGGTATTTAGGGCTACCGGGTTTAGGGTTTAGAGCTTGGTAAAGGCTTCAGGGTTCAAGGGTTTAGGGTTTAGGGTTTAGGGTTTAGGGTTTAGGGTTTAGGGTTTAGGGTTTAGGGTTTAGGGTTTAGGGTTTAGGGTTTAGGGTTTAGGGTTTAGGGTTTAGGGTTTAGGCTTTGGGGAGTGGGGTTTAGGGTTCAGGGTTCAGGCTTAGGTTTTTTGACTTTGGGGTATGGGGGGTGTAGGGATTTACTGCTGTTGGAGCCATGACGCCGCAGGGGCATAGAATTTCAGAAGCGACCCAGGCCAGCGTGTGAACGAGAGCTGCGGTTGAGGGTCTAGGGTTTTAGGGCTTAGGGTTTAGGGTTTAGGGTTAGGGTTTAGGGGTTATGTAGTAAGGGCCGCGAGTTCGAGTCCTATACCTTTAACTATCTTTGGGTTCTCAGCACCCGAAACCCCTTGAGCTCTCAAGACCCTCAACCCCCAACTCTAAGCCTGGATCCCCCTGAGCTCACATGAAGCTACCTACCGCCCTTGGAGCCCCCTCCCTTAAGAATCCCCGAACTCGGCTCAGGAATGTTTAAGGTTCAGCGCCTAGCGTGCTTGAGGTGTATTCCTTGGGTAGTGGGCTCTCCGCATAAATCCCGAGGACTAGATGCAGGGACACGCCTGTGCGCATGGAATAGTTGGTACCGCATCAACTAAACGTTCCACCAACCAAACCCTCAAGCAATTTCGGATGCCTTCATGAGTTCAGAGTTGCAACGTACCATGTCTAGGGAAGACTATACCGGCAACAAGCTCACATGAAGTGACCTACCGCCCTGTAGCCCAAAAACCCTCAAAGCCTCAAACCCTCAATCCCTCAAACCCAAAAAAAAAAAAAAAAAAAAAAAAAAAAAAAAACTCAAACCAAAAACACTAAAGAAACCTTTTAAAAATAAAAACCTAAAACCCTAAACCCTTGTATAAGACCTTGAGCTCTGCCAAAACTTGGGCAGCCGGCCCGGCCGGCGACAGGGAGTCCGGCAAAGCATGCGCTGCACCTGTCGGCTTTCAGGGTTGAGGGTCTTTTTGGGGATTAGCGTTCAAGGGTTTAGGGTTTAGGGTTTTCTGGAATCTGGGGTTTTGGACTTAGGGGGTGTTTTAGGATATTTAGGGGCTGAGGGTTTAGGGTTTGGATTGGGGTGGGGGTGGATTAAGGTTTAGAGTTTGGTTCTAGGGTGTTTGGGTTTCTGGATTAGGGGGTTAGGGGGCTGTATTAAGCCTCAAGTTTTCAGTGGTAAGCGGGGCCTTCATGGGATGAAATCCAACCCCCAAAGTGAAACCCTACAGCCCCACAACCCCTGAAGACCTAAAACACCAAAGCCCTGAACCCCTAAAACCCTGAACCCCAAAACCCTAAAAACCTAAAACGCTAAAACCTAAAACGCTAAACCCTATACCCAAACCCCGAAACCCTAAACCCGAAGCCCTAAACCCTAAACCCTAGCCCTAAACCCTAAACCCTAAACCCTAAACCCTATCTAACCATCGACTCCCTAATGCCGGAGGTGGCGCCAAAGTCCGCAGCGGCTCCGCCGCCTCTGGAGCTGGGCAGCGTCGAAAGCATACCTGGGGCCGTCGGGTTCAGGGTTTAGGGTTTGGGGTGTAGGGGCTTGAAATAGGGTTTAGGGTTTTGGGGTTTAGGGTTCAGGGCCGTAGGGTTTAATTAGGGTTCAGGGCCGTAGGGGTTTAGGGTTTAGGGGTTTGGGGTCTGGGGTTTAGGGTTTAGGGTTTAGGGTGAACCCTCAACCCTGAACCTTGAACCCTAAACCCCACTCCTTGGACAAAAAGCAACAGGCGTTGAGTGAGCTGAACCCTGATGCCGTGAGCATGCCCTGGAAGCCCCACAAATCACCTTATGTAGACCCACATTATTTTATCAAGCTCCTTACACCCTAAACCTTAAACCCCTAAGCCCTAAGGCCCAAACTCTAAAACCCTAAATCCAAAACCCTAAACCCTAAACCCTAAACCCTAAACCCTAAACCCTAAACCCTAAACCCTGCCTGCGCGGCAAGCTCACCCCGCCCCTCTGCGGCAAAGGGCCGCCTCAACATGGCCACCTCCCGAGTCAAAGAGTTGTTTAGTAGGGGTCAGGGTTCAGGGTTCAGGGTTCAGGGTTCAGGGTCCAGGGTTCAGGGTTCAGGGTTTAGGGTTTAGGGTTTAGGGTTTAGGGTTTAGGGTTTAGGGTTTAGGGTTTAGGGTTTAGGGTTTAGGGTTTAGGGTTTAGGGTTTAGGACTTGGGGTTTGGGGTTTAGGTTTCGGATTCAGGGTTTAAGGAGGCATACATTCACCATAATTCCGAATCAGAAACCCTATATACCAAAACCCGAAACAACGCTACCACATAGGGCCCAGGACTTGAGATTGCCTAGAGGTCCTGATGCCCAGCCTCATACATGGTGCAGCCGAGGGAGTAGATGTCTGCAGCAAAGTCGTACCTTACGCCATGGCACTACTAACTGAGGCTTCAAGTATTCCCAGGAAAGAAGTATGTACTTGAAGGGAGGAAGGAAAAAAAACAGACTACTCAAGAACCCACCCTAAACTCCAAGCACTAAAGCACGAAACCCTAGGCCCTAAATAAAACCCCTAACCCCTAAACTCCACACCCGGAACTTGAAACCCCGAAGCCCCTGCGGTCTATGCCATACTACCCCCCTCTATACTAACCCCCCCTAGGTTCCCCCCATAAATAAGGCTACTTGGGTTTAGGATTTTGACTTAGTGTTCAGGAAAACCCCCTAAACCCTAAAACCCCTCCCAAAGCAAACTCGAAACCCTTAACCTTGCACAGCCCCTGCAACTTCAGCTGAGGCAAGGTCTTCTGCCCCAGCCATACCTGACCCGGGCTCAAGGTTTAAGATTTGGTAGGGTTTAGGGTTTTTAGGGTTTAGGGTTTGGGTTTAGGGTTTAGGGTTTAGGGTTTAGGGTTTCGGGTTTAGGGTTTAGGGTTTAGGGCTTAGGGCTTAGGGCTTAGGGCTTAGGGCTTAGGGCTTAGGGTGTTGAGGCTGGCATCAGGCTTTGAGATCGAGCACGTTGCGGAATGAGCATGCGCCAGCTATTGAAGGTCCAAAGGTTTGTTCAGCAGTCGATTGAGCATGATTAGGACTGGGCTGGGCTGCTGTTAGTTTGGGGTTTAGGGTTTAGGGCATAAGAGTTAGGATGTAGGGATTAGGGTATATAGGGTATGGGGTCCAACAATAGGGTTCAAGGGGTTTAGGATGTTTATGGCTTCGGAATGAGGGGGGGTTCAGGGTTTGGGGGTTTGGGATGCCTCGGGTTTGGGGTCAGGGACTAACACGATGCACAAGGAAGCCCTACAAGGTTTTGGGCCCAGAGGCTCCGGTAGCTCCATCCCTTGCTTGGGGAAGTCCTTCAAGAATGAATGGAATTTCAAGGGTATTGGAACCCGAAACGCTAAACCCTGAGCACTTGATTAAGGGTCTCTGGAGAGGTCGCAGTGGGCGCCTCAGGTGCTAGGTAGCCAGGCGTGCCGATCTGTGTCCATGCACCAGCCAATGCCACCTGAACGTAGGTTTAGGGACTCCAGCGTTTAGGGTTTAGGGTTTAGGGTTTAGGGTTTAGGGTTTAGGGTTTGGGGTTTAGGGTTGTGTAAGGTTTCGGATGCTAGGTGTTTAGGGTTTTGGGGGTTTTGGGGCTGCGGGTACACTCAGAAAAAAGGTTCTACAATGAGGCTGTGGGGTTTGGGGTTGTTCAGGGTTCAGGGAACCCTCGGGACTCGAGGCACAGGATTCCGTGCACGGGTGAGCAAGTCAAGCCATACATATATATATATATACATATATTTAAATCAATAAATACATAAAAAATAAATATATATGTATCTATATATATATATATAACTCTGAAACGCCAATACCCTACATCCTAAAACCCCCAAAGCCCTGAGACGCCTGAGACCCCAAAAGCCTACAACCCTAAGACGCCCAAAGCCCTAAAACCCCTAGTTTCCCACCAACCCCGCAACCCGAAAAACATGCCTAAACCCTCCACACCTAAACCAGAATGCCTTCTCTTGCATCCCTGGACCCTAAACCCTCAACCCTAAACCCACAGTGTTCAACCCTAAGTCCCACACTTCCCCGAACCCCCAACCCTGAACCCTAAACCCTAAACCCTAAATCCTAAACCCTAAACCCTAAACCCTAAACCTATACCCTAAACCCTATACCCACAGTGTTAATCCCTGAGCCCTAAAGTCCCCAAGCCCAAACCACCTTAAACCCTAAACCCTAAACCCTAAACCCTAAACCCTAAACCCTAAACCCTAAACCCGAAACCTGAATCTGCTTGCACTTGGGGCCACCTTGGCGATGCCGAGATCACCCAGGACAGCCGTTTGCTCATCCTCCGACAGGAAGATATTCCTGGCAGGGTGCGCAGATCGGTTTAGGGGTTTCGGGTTTAGGATTTAGGGTTTAGGATGGTTTAGGGTTTAGGGTTTAGGGTTTAGGGTTTAGGGTTTAGGGTTTAGGGTTTAGGGTCTAGGGTTTAGGGTTTAGGGTTTAGGGTTTAGGGTTTATGGCTCAGGCGTTTGAACTCTGGATTTACAAGGCTTCGGGAAGTTCAGGGTTTGGCATCGCCTGCAAGAAATACGAAACGCTCACAAACAGAGTAACATTGGATAAGCCCTAAACCCCAAAGGCGCAAACCC